CACCTCCATCGAGACTTAACACAAATGTAGTGATGAAAGGAAGGAAGCCAGCAGATGGGCAAGTCTGGACAGTATGATGTCACTGTGCACAGTAGTTTTGGAGTTACAACCAAAACAAAAGAAAGAAAAAGAGATGTTTTGTTGGATCGCAGTGACCTTTGACTGCCATATTCTAATCAGTGCATCCTTGAGTCCAAGTGAACTTTGCGCCCAGTTTATAGAAACTTCCTCAAACGGTTATCGGCTTCTTGGGAATGCCGGAGAGTGACGTGCATACGGATGGGCAGTTGGAAAACACAGCGAACCCCGGCCAAGGCTGTCGTTAGCACATAAAAAGATAACACTGCTGAGCTGGTGAATCAGCTGGTGAAGACTGATTGAACAGAAAGTTGATCGTCCAGTCCCTGTAACAACACACGGTACGTGGCATTCCTGTGAATGCAGTTAGTACTGCAGGACTTTCAAGTGCATGTGGCCAAGCAATCCAAACACTTTTTATATAGTCAGAGGAGGTTTTATAACTTGAAGTGCAAGATATTTAAAATGTCAGCACTTGTTGTTTCAGCTCTAAGGAAAGTGAGAGAACACGAAGTACTGCCGGTGTGTAAGAAATCACTCCTGATTTGATCTGAATCAGGCTTCCTGAGAGGCTGCGGTGTGTGTTTGTACAAACGGGCTGCTTGAGACTGAAAACTGAAAGCCAGCTTGAAGCCACACCTGTGTGTGGCTGCATGCCAGTTAGCACAGGGAGTGTGTGGAGGTGCGTGTGTGTTTACCAGTGTGTGTGCGTGTGTAGCAACAGGAACGCGATGCTGCCGCCGCTGTTGCGGGAACAGGGCTGAATCACAGCGGAAAAGCCTGCTCCTCGTGCTCTCGTCTAATGAATTAGATCCTCCAAAGTTCCGCAAACAGAGCGAGCTGATCCAGCGGGACTTTCGCTCAGATTTTTCACACGGCAGCCCTGATTGCACCGCAGCCCTAATCCTTAGCAACGCGTCTTGCATAAACTCCACATTTCTCCCAGCCTCCCCACAGCGCATTCTTTCTACCGCTTCACTCTGCGGTCGAGAAAGAAAAAAACAGGTATTGCTCAACAGACAAGCAGAACAGGCTCTGTGCTGCGCTGGAGCCACGAACTCCTCGTACGCTCACGCCGCCACAGACTAAAACCACCAAAACACAAACGCACCGCCACATCTCAGAGTGTCCCGACCTCTTTCTACACATTAACCACATAAAGGAAGGAGTCTGGATTAGAGCGCTGGAATAAGGAGGAGGGAAAATTAGGACATCTTCCATTCAAAACTGGCCTAAATAAATATCAAGAAGTCGATTTCTGCTATTATTTTCAGATAAAAGGCTAAAAGATAAGTGCTGTTAATGACGGAGTTCCACAGAAGGATAACTGATCGATAAATTGAGTGGGATACATTTCATTATTAACATAGTGTACACAGTGCTGTGTACAAATCAGTTACTCTTTGTTAGAATTCCAGAAGGGTTTTATGACAAATTAAAGGAAAAGTCACTGACAGTTTCTCCCAGGTCTCTGGAAATCTGCTGGAGCGTTCAAGCATCATTATTCCTGATGTTGGTCCAACACATCTGTCCTAAATCTTCTACAGGTTCAAGTGTAACAAAATCCAGCTTGAGCTGCTTTCAGCTGCTCCTTTATTTACAAGCAGTCACCACAGATGGTAGCTCTACATGCCGGATCTGACTTTTTTTTAAATGCCCAATGTCCTTCCTGACATATCCCCAAAGGGATCAGTGTCCCCTCCCGGGATCAAACTGGGATATTTTGTTCATTAGTCAGGTAAATCACATCACTATAGAGCCACCAGTGGAACCCCGTAAAATCCAGCATTTTAAAAAAAAATACTTAAATTACTTTCAAAACACTTAGATATTCAGAAGTGTCTAGATCACGTTCCCACGTCACTCCCTTAGAGGAGAATTTGAAAGATTTGCAAATAAACACTTAGAAAAAAAATTAATCGCAAATTATTTCGAACCAGAATGATTCACAGCCAGAGGATGAACCCAATATCAAAAATTTATGTACTTTAATTCGTTTTGACCGGCCACCCATCACCAAGAAATGCAATTTGTCTCTAGATGGACGCACTCTAAAATGAACTAGGCTGCAGAGCTTAAATGAATGTGTCTACTTGCTGAAGTCATGAGGGCTTGAAAATGCAGGCAAACTTCAACCCATCCCTATGTACTTCAAGGGCTTGTAACTCAGGTTTCATAGCTTGAAGATAACATTGTGCATAGGTTCATCAATCATCCTAAAGTTGATTCACAAAAACATTCAGCTGGTCCCGAGAGGCTCGTGTGGAAGTGACATTTAAAGCACGCGCGTGCTGCAAATGGTCAATAGTAAGCATGCGGTGCACCTCTGTGGCAGCATTTGAATTAGTCCTTCCTCCCAATGCACATTCGGGTTTTGCCTTTGATCTGTCGCCCACCTGCACACACCACTCCAAAATATAATTACTTCTCCATTAAGGATGAATGTGCTAGCTTCACAGTTAGCAATTTTGTGCTAGTTTTCATTTGAATGATCTCTCTCATCAACTCCTTATTTTATGATGGACAGAAATTACCCTGGAAAACATGTTATGGTTTTTGTTTATATTGTACTGAAAATACAAGACGGTTCTTTGTTTCTAAGTTCGGAATCGAGGGTTTGAATCGGGCATTTTTACCCATACCTCCTTAATTCCAACGTCCTGCAGACATGGGATACGTTACATGCTTTACCTAGAGGGCACTTTTACAAACAACACATCAAACTAAAGGTCGTTTAATAGGCAGATTTTTTTTAATATTTATTAATATTTATCAGATTGAATGAATGGGCAGTAAAAAGAGCAAACTCCTTTCTTTTACATCAGTTATTTTCAAATGAATGGCCTTGTTGGAAGGGCTTTTTGGCCCTTGTGATGCATGCTCACCAGATGCCACTGCATTTTAGTTATGGATGCTTTGAAAGTTTACACTACATTAAAAATAACTGCAACCTCTTTAGTTTTATAGAGAGCTGGCCAGCACCCTATGCCGAGCCTGATTTGGCCTGTGAGCCGCAAGTTGAGTATCACTATTACAGACCTCTTATGAATTACAGGAAAGTTAATAAATAGTGAAAATAACACGTTTGTTTTTTAATTATTTCCCCATGATTTCATTCTGCTAACACAAACAAGGTAGCTGAGGCAATCGTTTAAATACTGAGAGTTCAGAAGATGTCAGCAGTATTTCTGAGTGTCACACTGATGTAAGATGTGCAGATTCACAGATCTAACACTTTATTTCCTCAGAGGTTTTTCCCACTAAAAGCCGGGTGAAGAGAAGATAAACAGAAGAAGAGGCTGAAAGTCTCCCCGGAGGACGGCAACAATGCCTCTCCGGTGGTCCCGCTCTCCTCTCCGGGTGAGTTAGATCACTAACACGCGGTCTAGACTGGTGAGTCACAGCAGGCTGAGTTAGCTGATCACTGAGGCCAGTTCAGTAAGACTTAATCGCCACACAGTGAGCTTCACTGGAGTGTGACAAGGGCACGAACTCTATGGATAGAAAGGCCACTGAACACAGACACACACACAGGCACGGGGACAGGGAGGTGAAAGAGTGTGTGCGTGATATAACACTTTTACAATACTTCATAACTGAAAGTAAGACAGCTGAGATTCACTCCGGAGCCAGTCGGAGCGCTCGCCCTGAACTGATGCTTCACAGATTGAGTAAAGTGCACCAACCAGTTCCCACCAACAATGCAGTCATAGATGAAAATCACTTCACCTGTGACTAAAGGCTTTGTTTGTGTTTGTGTGTGTGTGTGTGTGTGTGTGTGTGTGTGTGTGTGTGTGTGTGTG